CTGCTTGGTTCCATTCTTCGTCTTCGTAATCCTTATCGTTTGTCCTGGGAGGTACGTACGTTGAGAAAAATCTTATCGTGATTTCACCTATCTTCACATCCATACTTGAGATTCTTTCACTTTCTCGAGTGAAGGTTGATATGTACGGTAAAATTCGTTCACTTACGAGAAAGCCTGTGCCGGAGGGACCTTGTGTGTGTTCAAGACCAGCATAGTAAAATCGATAATTTGAATGTGGTAGATCCATACATCCAGTTCCTTTCCAACGCAGTTCCGTCAGGGCCAATATATCGAGTCGGGTGTTCTTGAGGGCTTCTTGCAGTTCTTGTAGTCGGACTTCGTTCGACAGGCGTCTCACGTTGACTGTTCCGATGTGTACACAGTCATTGTTGGGGTGGAACATACTTGATCCTGCTGTTCCGGGACTTCCTGGATCAAGAGGTTCGACGTCCGGTAGGGTGGGGAAGAGCGGTCAAAATGACCGACCAATCGAGGGACGTGTATAGGACGAACTCTCTGAGAGAGAGTTCACGATCAAAACTGTGCTCAAATTACTGCTAAAAACACAACATAAGTTGCTTTTCGAGAGTGGATCAGCATCGGTATTCGTGAGAAGTAAAGCACTTGAAATTCGAAAGACTGCAATGTTCTGTTGAAATATCTGACAATATTTTTGAATGACATAAACATTTCAAACGAAGTGCTCATTCAAATAATCATAAGTACAAATTGCCCGAAAAAAGTAGAAGTATCTGCGAGAAATTTCCAAAAACAGATCTAGTGCAGTTTGTTGGAGATGGAAACATTTGCTAAGCATTTCACGAAAGAATCCAATAAATTTGAACCTTCTTGCTGAGATATGTTAGCAGAAAAATTAGAAGGCAGGATAAATCCATCGAAAAAGATTTGGTGCGACTGTGTTTAGGGTGAGCAAACATATTACGCACTCGAGAAATGAATAAAGGGGCCGGACTATCTTGCTGAAATATTTGACATTTTTGAAAACTTATGGTGCACTCCAAATTAAACGCTCCAGAGTAGAAATAGAAAAGCTTAAGATGTCAAAAAAAAACAAAATAAATCCAACGATTTCGGCTGCATTTGTTAGATTACAATAATGGTAATCATATGTTGGAAGTCTTAAAAAAGGTCTTGCTCAAATCAACGGATTAAAAACATTTTTTCTAGAAACGGATTCGATGCAGCTTTCTGTGCGAACTTATCAAAGGTTTTCAAATAAACTGAACTCTTAAATTAATCCAATAGGGTGCTTCTTCCGAAATTATTGAGGAACAAATGAATTTGTAATCTTTTGTAGTAGTATTGAAGGAATATGAAGGTCTAAGAAAATTGTAAACTACCTGTTTCAATTCAATCGAATTCGGGTCGCTCTTGTAAAACGATTCGAACTATACGGAAGAGTTAGCTTGTCTAGTTACTGCAATTTTAGGTCATGCCAATTGATCAACATTGTCTAGGACAGGCATCACTGCCGCTTTGAGTCATCAGCTCGGTACGATTGCACCGGCACAAAACGTCGGACATGTTTACACCTCTGGCGCGAGCGATGACGTCAGATGGGGGTGCTTGCGCTTTATATATATAGTATTGATATTATAATTTTGGATAATATTATTGGACATGAGGCCTTGTGAGCCTTTACAACATTCTTTCAAATGAAACTTTGTTTTTTTTGCTAATAGCTACGCATGGACTTGTGAGAGAAATAGTTCTTCGATTTTTCTTTTACAAAACAAGGATGCCTTGCTTTTCGATGTTCCACAACGATACTTCTCAATTTTTGTTGATGCTGGCCAAAAGTCATTTCCAGATGTTATGCACCCACCAGACCACGACGGAAATAGAATGTTACCAAAGGAAGCAGCCGCACCGACTGACTTGAGTAAAATCCACAAACCACTGAACGAGTAGATTAAAAAGTCTCTTTTATATACGTACCCTTTAATCTCTGCGTAAACATTCCTCCGATACATTATCCGATACGAGAAGCAGCAAAACGAGGTCTCGGCGCTTAGGCGTCGCTGGGTAGTCATGGGAAGCTGGCCGGGCACACACTATACTAGTCAATGCACTTTTTTCTCCTCTTCCTAACAGCTAGTTTTTCTTTGCAGTACATGCAAAGTTTGCAGACAAAATCACCGTACTTGTCAATTTTACGTATTCTCACTGCTGCTGTACTCTAAATCAAGAATCTCCGTATTTTGAAGTGATGGTTGCTCACTAACTTTGTATCACTTGCAATAGATAGCAATAATCAACTTTTGAAGCCCCAATAACGTAAAAGCAGCGTGTGGTACAATTGTGTGTTATGCAATGCTTCTAAAACTTGACAATCTGGAAAATTGTTCAGCAAAATCTTGAGGAAAAAGCTGCTAAGGCAAGTATTGCTGCACAATTCTGCAAAAGGCTTCTCTACCTGGTCGTTATTAATTCTCGAAAACTCTCAAAAATTGAAAATTGTGGAGGTTAGACAAGGTGAGTATGAAAGGGTTGTAAACTCCGAATACTTTTTAGCGCCCGAAACTCGAATCGTGAGTGAAACTGCTGCGAAGAAGGAGAATATCTGCTGACATAGCTCAAAATAATTGTTCTTCTTGACTTTGGGAATTCACGGGTAGATGCGAAAAATGGAAGAAAATTTGTACCGAACTTTTCATTACTAGTTGGTTTCGCCGGTCGGCTTGAACTGTGGGCCTGTCAAAGGTCACATAATAACCATAAGATCTAAGAAAGTTAAAGACTCACCTTACCTTTATCTCCTTTTATTTTCCTTCAACCTACCCTTTTCTTAATACTGCTCCTATTCCGAATCAGGGCAGCAGTGCTTCTGCGGAGGACTTGTCTTCTCTTAGGTAGGTGCCAGAGTAAGGGAATACAGTGCTGGCCAAAACTATAGATCCACTATAAAAAACTGTCGTAGTTCATCTGCTTCTCAACAAATTGATCTAATATTTGGTACAACTGTGTGATCAACAGGCTTCCATCAGTGACCGGAGCGGATCCCGCTTTCGTTAGACTATTCAGAAAAAAAATCAAAAATTTTGAAAAAGCAGGCTCGAAGGTTGGCCAAAACTATAGATCCACCCAAAATTTTTGTCTGCCAAAGTAATTCTCTGCTTCCAAAGTTTTTTGTGCATGTACATAGTCGAAATTCAAAGCATTGGCTTTAGATCAGCTGCGTTGTACCTTTATAAGAAACGCTTATGTGCTTTTTTTCACTTAAAAAATACTTTTATGCATATTTTGTTTCCGAAAATGTCTTTTTGTAGAGGAGTCCGCACTTTTTTGACTGGTTTGAAAGTGATAGGGTTCCATCTATCTTGTAGATGCTTAGCGGTGTGAGCAGTAGAAAAAAAATTCGAGTTTTTGTATCCAAAGCGCACCTGGCATGGACCTAACCGCAGGGCTGCGCTCGAATTTTTGCCTTCAAAATTGTACGCTATTTTTGTAAGCTCAAAATAATGTAGAAGCATTATTTAGCATTCTTCACATGAAAAGAAGTTTGTAAACTACAGTCATGATTGTTTGCGAAGTCGCATTTTAATTCTTTTTAAACCATAAGTCTTGCGGCGTGTTCGGCAATCTCAAAGTACTTACCAAGTTGTACCTTCCTTGAATTTTGCCACTATTTAGCTGCTGACCAGTGAATGCACCATGCAATGTATGTTGCCTTGTGACTCACACAAACATTATGGTCAGAACCAGAAATAACTTTAAGGCTTGTTACAAATCACTTTTTGCAGGATGAAGTCCCCACTTAGCCTGCATACTAGGATCTGCAGAAATCTGCAACCACTGCATACGGACTCTCGTACATACTAAAAATGTCATTACTCCAGTTCACGCTCATAACGACATTGCAGAAAGAGTTTGAAAGCATAAATTTGAACGCAGGCCTGTGGTTTGGTCTATGTCGGGTGCGCTTTGAATATGAAAACCCAAATTTTTTTTTCTACTGCTCACACTGCTTAGCATCTATAAGATAAATTGAGCCCTATCACTTTCAAACCAGTCAAAAAAGTGCGGAATCCTCTATAAATAACACATTTTCGGGAACAAAATACGCAAAAAAGTATTTTTAAAGTGAAAAAAGCAGATAAGCCTTTCTTGTAAAGGTATGACACAGTTGAATTAAAGCCACTGCTTTGACTTTCAACTATGTACATGCACAAAAGACTTTGGAAGCCGTGAATTACTTTATCAGACATAAATTTTGGGTGGATCTATAGTTTTGACCAACCTTCGAGCATGCTTTTTTCGAAATTTTTGATTTTTTTCTGAATAATCTAACGAAAGCGGGATCTGCTCCGGTTACTGATGGAAGCCTGTTGAACACACAGCTGTACCAAATCTCAGATCAATTCGTTGAGAAGCAGATGAACTACGGCATTATCTATAGTTTTGGCCAGCACTGTATCTTGTTCAAGTTGGGGTCTCGAGCAAAATTGACGTCACTTGGATTGACGCAGCATGGTGAGTGACGTCAACCCTGCGCGGGACCCCAAGAGAACAAAATATTCGCTTACTATGGCATACCTTACCGCGCTCGAAACACCGCATCCTCCTCACCGCGAAATGTATGTGAGATCTACCGCTCCTTTTACATGCTTATTTGAGATTAATCCGATAATGACTATTATGCCCCCCTTCTCCTTGATGTAAGTGAACAAAAAATAAATCGATAGAAGGAGTGAGTTGCTGCAAAAAGTAGCCTATCGTGTGCGCAGGAGTTGAAATATATGTGTGCAGAGTTTGGCACTTCTTGGTTCATTCACAAAGAATTCTATTTGACACATACTTCGCGGGAACATACAAATTTTGAGTTTTATATATGTATAGATTTGTATCGAAGCAGCTAGGGTGAAAGCAGTCGATTTGTTAATGGTGCATAGTAGCACAGTTGAAATGAGGAAAAGAGCAAAACGATTCTTGAACTGATCCAGCATTGTCGAGACCCATTTCATGTGGCTCGAACACAGAACTACTTGTGTAGTACAGCAGGGTTATGGTTCCTTGCTGTTAACGGTTCTATCTCACAGTTCGAACGAGATCCAGATCTCTTGGGTGGAATATATTACGATTACCTGGGTGAAGAGAATGGAACTCAAATTGGATCTCTAAAACAAATTCTTACTAGTCAGGTGATATCCTTTTTCCTAAACAAGCCAACAGGCGTCTTCACAATCTTGGGATCATTAAGATCGAGCAAATTCAAAAGGATGGTGAACTGCCTATTAATGTATCGAAAATTGAAAAAGATGTAGATGAAATCATTGATCTGGAGATGAGAATGGCGAAGATCATGGAAGCAGATGTAAATGACACCGAAACAAAGCGTGATTTCCATCTGAGCGATATGCAAAAATTTATGCCATCTGTGAGTTTCAGAATTTTCGGTTGCTACAAAATTGGCAGTTATGTATAGTATTCTTAGATCAATTGGCAGCAATTCTTCCGTGCTGTAGCTCCTTCCGCTTCCCATTATTTTGCTTCAGATCCACAAATTCTCATAAACGATGTTGATTATATAAAAAGGTAGCCTCTCGACAATTCTCGTTCTCACTGCTCATTCAACAAGAAGTTGCAAAACATGAGAATTTAGTGTAAACAAACTTCTGCAATCAACAGATCCTCGTATAATCACTAACTATATTTTCATGTGGTTTTCTCGAGAATGGTTGGACGAAATGGGAGATGTATATGAAGACATTAAACAGGTGGACTAATATCGCTCAAGCTTGTTAGAAATCTTGTCAACTGCAACTCATATCAACCTTTCCTGAGTTTAAGAATGTTTTGATGTACAAAATTCGAATTCAGGAATTCAATAAAATCATCTCTGGGCAACAGCAAAAAAGAACCCGATGGAAGTTTTGCACTAGTATCGCTATGGATTATATGGATTATGCAACAACAGCGTTATACGTAAAGAAAGAACTGCATGAGGTTCAGAAACGATGTAAGAATTCTGCGATTTACTCTGTCAATTTAGACTACGAAGGAGGAGGTACTGGAAATTTTCGAGGACCTTAAGAAAGAGTTTGGCAAGAACCTCAACACCAGCTACTGGATTGATGATGAAACCAAAATTGTAAGCTAATAGACTGAATAATTATGCGGCCGAGCATCATCCTACAGGAAGCTCTGAATAAGTTGGATAAGATGCTGCCTGAGATAGCTTACCCAAAATTGGTTCTAGATACAGAGATGCTTGACAAGCATTACAGCGATGTGAGTAGACATCTAAAACTGATTATTTGCAGATTGTACTTGCTAATTTAGTTGGATGTGCACGACACGGATTCGTTTAGTGAAATATGGGAAAAAATAGTTAGATGGCGAATCAAGGACTTCTTCGAACAGCTAAGGATGGTTCCAGACCGTTTCGTATCCTTCAACCCAGCCGATGTTGATACAGTACAATACGCTTTCGAAAGCAACTCTTTGCGTAAGCTCTCTGCAACTGCATTATGCATGGATCCTTCATATCTCAAAGCTATTTGAGCTAGGAAAATTGGTGCTTTCAGAAGTTGCGGTCTCCAAACTCCAAACTCCTTATTTCCATCACACTTTTCCTAGGCTGGTTTTTAGCTATAACAACTTACAATTTTTACCACAAGAAAAACTTTGTTTATCAAAATAAAAATCGGAGGAAGCGCAGAAAATCCTCATATTTGAAAACGGTTTTCAGCTGGCGAAGTACTGAGTTAAAATGAATTATCGGTCTGTTTGCACAACTGGGGGTGCACACGTCACATGTTTGTTATCTCGGAAGTCTAGCACATGTCACCGCTGATTGCATCCCATCGATTCTCAAATTCACTTCTTAGAAGCAGTAAAATAAATGGGGTGCTCATTGAAAAAACTTATGCAAAACACTTCTACCATCCAACAAAATGATTTTGAGGCAATTCGATGCAGCAAATGTGGTATATAATAAACTTGCGTTCAAAGTTTCGAAGCGCAAATTTGCAAACAAGAAAAAAGCTCCACTTTGCCTGTTCAAAAAGCGACTTTTTTTTCGTGAAATGAGTATGTGTACATATAATGAGCATGTTGAACTCCATTCGAAGTTATAAATATTTGAGTCATTACATTTTGCAATTCGAGAGGGTGTTAAACTCCATTCGAAGTTATAAATATTTTTAAAGTCATTACATTTTGCAATTCGAGAGGGGTCAGAGTAGAAGATTGAAAAAGGTACCAACCTTAAATAATTCAATACACCTATGTTTGCTCATAAAGAGTAGAACAAACAAAATTTGCGGCGTCGCATGCAGGAAAGGCCTTGTAATTTGCAACTGCCCACGCGCAGTTCTGAGCACCACAGGATGCCTGTAGTTGGATCCTAAAGAGCTATCGGCGTTTTACAAGCGCAATAAACGCGCACCCCTTTTATTCATATCTGTATTTGAGAGGAAGTTCTTGTTAGAACGTAGAGTATTGCCCGCATAACATGCAAAATTCTCAAGCATTTGGCGAATATTGCGGCATTTTGATGTCGCGCAACATTTCGGCGAACGCGTGACATTGGATCGTGAATTCATCGAGATCACGCGGATAATGCGAAGTGCCCAGCGCCATTACTCCTTTTGAACTGAATATCTTCTAAATTCGAAGAAACCACTGTGTTCAGCTTATCAAGGCAAATCTTGTGATGTACACCATATACTTGACAATCGTTTTCAATTCCCTCAAATTTTTTGCGGACGTTTCCTCGCAGAATTATCACACAGCGCATTTCAGACGTAAGAGTTTCCGATAGGCACTGCTGGATAGTGCTGCTTCTGTAGATTGTCGAGCGCTCAGTAGCCGTGATTTTTTCGAAAGAGAAGAAGGGCTGGTGAATTCTGGGGTAATTATGCCCCAATTTTCACTCACCGTCAACCCTAAAATGCGAAACTATCTTGCTAAAAAATGGGATTTTTGTAAGCAGCAGGTCAGAACCCCTTTTGAGCAAGTTTCAAACCGGTATTTGATTTTTTTTCTTTTTTCTTCTTTCTTTTTTCTTTTTTTATTTTTTTCTTTTTCTCTAGAGCCCTTCGGTTGAGGCAAAGGTTGATGATCTGATTTTGGACTGAACGAAACTTCGCATGTAAAGGTTTCAGACATATTGTTTACGAAATCGTAATATACAAGGTCTTTTGGCAGAAATATGGTGAGGTAGCTGTAACTAAACCACGAATGTTCACAACTGCCTGCACTTCTCGCGTATCTTGAGGAAATTTGTCTGCTTGCTCTCATGACATTTTCTTTTTCTACATATAGCACGCCTACGAGCGTACAAAATAAATAAATAAATTTCGATTTTCGAGGATATATAGTTTGCCTAGAGTCTTTGAAAAAAGTGCCTGGTGAAGGGTGTGGGTAGTGATATCTGGATATTTTCGAGTTTATAGCATAAAAAAATTCATAACTTTTGTAGATGAACAGCTAGTACATGGTGATGGTCAAAAAGTGTTGGAACAGTCTCGCCCTCCGCTTTCAGAAAATGCATAGCATGTCTGAGATCCGTTTAAAAAAGTGCCGGATGAAGAGTGGGCGAGGCTTTCATAATGGGAGTGCTCAAATAGACGTCTTCTCAAAATGGTGAAAAAAACCTCCACTTAAGCACTCCCATTACAAAGGTCTCACCCACCCTTCACCCAAGCACTTTTTTGAACAAATTTCGGGCAAGCTATATATTTTCTGAAAGCGGAGGACGAGGCAGCTCCGATGGTGGCTACTTACATGTACCAGCTAATCATCTACAATTATGAATTTTTTCATGTTGAAAACTCGTAAGTGTCAGAAATCACTAACCACACATTTCGCTAGATACTTCTATGAACGGACTCTCAAACATATTCCCTGAAATCAGAGGGGAAAGTTGTTTCACAAAACTTTTCTCGCTGACGTTGCTTTGCAACTACAGAAGCTACTATTCTTTTCCTTCTGGAAGTCCGTAAATCCTTATAAATCTTCATCTTCCTTTCCGAGACACAAACAATTCCAGCACAAATATCTCCTTTGCTTATCTCACTATTGATTTTCTCGGCTTTAAGTGAAGGAAGTCACCTTGGTCCCGGTCCAGGGATGAAGAGGGGGTGAGTAAATTCTCACACTATCGCACCTATGGTTTCAATCCCGACCCACCGAGCTATAGAATGCAAAACGAGAAAAAATCAGATGATTCGAACTTCTGGGATAACTTTCTCATAGAGATTATCTAGCCTGCTGAACACGAAAATCACATGTGCCTAGCCGGAGAGCTTCATATTTTGGCTTATGGTGAGTATAGTTTGAGAAGACATAATTTCACGGTTCGCATTCTATCTTTAAAAAAGTTTCGGTTACTTTTTAGGCAGTCTACGGAAACAGCACTATTCGAATGTGCTTATTGAGATCTTCTAAGCATGATGTGCGCTGCGTGACACTCTTACAAAAAGGCATCAACAGAAAAATCTAGGAAAACTAAAGACGGAATGTCGAGGACATTCTGAATAATAGAAAATCTGCCTTGATAAGCTCAATGCTTCACTCAAAATATATCAATCCCGAAGCAAGTTATACCACTGCGTAGTTTGAGTGATCTGCATGATTTCGAGGAATACACGATTATTGCGAATCGCCAGAGTCGCGCGATCTCGGAATGAATGCCGCAAAATATAGCGTCATTTTCGAAATTTCTGCACACATGAGCGGTCACTTTACAGCGATGAAAACAACAGGGAGCACAGTGCGATAGTGTGAGAATTTTCTCTCTCTCTCCTCCCCCCCCCCCGCCCCCTTCACCTCTGAGCCGGGACCAAGGATACCCCCTTCACCAAAAGCCAAGAAAAATCAACAGTGAGGTAAAGGAGGGGTCATTCTCACCTTATCGCACCTGTTGTGGCATGGAGTTTGACGCGCAATTTTTTGGAATAAAACAAACGTCTGCAGTCCCTTGCGACGACCGCTCGCGCACGGTGGCGTTCAGGCACGGCGCAAACAATTAGTTTTCATCTTCAAGGCCTATACGTTGCATGCACATCGTCGCAGGTAACTGCGGAAATATATCTGAAAGATCGAAACCAACTATAAGCTTTTGCAAGGCGAAGACGGTCGTTTCGATGTGCAACGCGGCTGCGACACAACTGCGTCACAGTCGCGCAGCCACGTCGCACTTCGAACCGAGCGCCTTCGTCTTGCAGGACCTTATACAGGGTGTCGTAAAGCATGTATACACTGTTTGATCGTTAATATCTCTTTTCCCAATAATGTGGAACGCGGCCGCTGACCAATTATTAGAAAGGGATGGCTCTACAACACTCCCTCCCAAGATGAGCAACGGTACATCTTATAATAAGGATCTACTCGTAGACGTTCTGGTGGGCGACGCTGGCGACCTGGTCTGGTTTCTTCATAGTTGAGGTTGCTTGGTGTTCAGCAGCATCCATACCATTGTTACGTCGGCCTTCGTCGGAAATGCATTGTGTTGAGTCATAATGGCATTCCATACTTGCTGCGCGGCGCATCTGGTTCGCATGTTGTCTCCGTAACTGACCGTCTTCAGTAGCACGCCATATAATGCTTCTCCGTAGCCTTTCTTTACTCGATCTGAATCCATTTTTCACATCCAGAGCGAAAATCACGTACCCATATATCTTGTGGTTGGTACGCTCTCTTTCGTGCTCTATGGTGGCGGTTAAACTGCTTCTCCATGGTTTCGTTGCCCATCTTTCCTTCTTCTTTGGAATCTTCATTCAACAGCGACAGCGGTGTCTTCATCTGACGTCCCAGCAGCAGCTCGGCAGGCGAACGTTGTCCTGGAGCACTTGTACAAGGCGTCCGTCGATAAGATTGCAGAAACTCCGCAAGCTTCTCTGCCGTTCGTCCCTCCTTAAATTTCTGGAAGGTTCTCTTGAAGATATCTACAAACCTCTCCGCTTGTCCATTTAATTGTGGATGGAATGGAGGCGAACGCATTTGTTTGATTCCTTGCTCTTCATAGAAATCTTGGAACTCCTTTGCTGTGAACTGCGTCCCATTATCCGACACGATTACTTGCGAATTCCAAATCGAGCGAATAGAGATCTGAGTTCCCTCAGAGTAGCTGCGTTGACGATGAATGCATCTCAAATACTTCTGGCCATCTCGAGTAAGCGTCAACTACCACGAGATACATCCTACCATTCAGCGGTCCTGCGTAGTCAATGTGAAATCTAAAATCGATTCCATGGCTTGTCTTCTTCTTTCCATGGATGCAGCAACGTCTTCATTGGCATTTTGGAGGCTTCTTGACAGTCTCTACAGCGGCGCACTGAATATTCAATTTTTCTGTGGATGCCCATCCAATATGCGAATCCTCTCGCGAGCATCTTCATCCTTGTCATTCCAGGGTGTCCCTCGTGTAACTGCTTCAGAACTGCTTGTCTCAGCGAAACTGGAATGACTATTCTGTGGGCGAAATATAAACATCCGTTTCGCACTGATGAGTTCTCCCGCAGTGCTCTCCATTCTCAAACTTCTTCTTTCGGCTTGAA